CGAGTTGGTTACAGATTGTCACCAATTCAAATTTATTTGTAATTTGTAATTCTGAGCCTATTTATGGGCAATATTTCAATGAAACGAGTTAGAGTGTATATACCAACATTTGAATTGGTGACAATTTGTAACCAACTTGTAAAATGACAACTCCTAACAAAACGCAATCAGCTCTTATTAAATACAAAACACAATCAACTCCTATTAAATACAAAACGCAATCAACTCCTATTAAATATAAATCGCAATCAACTCTTATTAACTTGCTGATTTGCTTCATATGCATGGAATCTGCTTTTGTTTATGGAGGAGATTTGACCTTTATTGACGGTTGGGAGATTTAATCGATTAACTTGAAGATTTAATCGATTAAATCTTCAAGTCAACCATTTTTATCAGTTTTGACCATTTAATTGATTAAATATTCAAGTTAATCGATTAAAGATGGACAGATTGGTAGATAGTTCCGAATAAGGGGTAAAATGGTTATTAATTAATTAATGAAGGGTAAAAAGGTCAAGAAACCCTCATGTGAACCTACATGAGAAAAAGAAAAAAAAATATATATACAAATCTCACACTAATTATTGGATGATATGTTCCACTTTGATTTTTTTCAAACAACTTAAAATTATTGACGCCATTATTATTATTCCTTGGTTACTGCTGTTCGAAAGCACAAAGGAACCTAGTCAAGGAAGATCCCTTATGCTGTCATCGTTTAGATGTTAGAAGTTAGGACCCTGTCAAAAAGGCTCTTTCAAACCTATTAACTAGGTCTACAATTACGCACGCAAAACATGGAAAGAAAACCCCTCAACTCTTTCTTTCTATTTTTTCTCCTTGCTGAGAAGGTCAAGTTAACCATGGTTAATTCACTAAAGACGAGGAAAAAGAGTGAGAACTGAGAAAAGAAGGTGGCCTACCACCAAGACCGTTTCCTTCCCTTGTTGAAAAGTTGTGTACTTTTGTTTCTTCCACAACCTTTGAAAAGTTGAGCACATGAGAGCTCGTAACAAATATAATGAAAATTTAACAGCTCTTGCTTTATAAATGATTTGTTTGACTTTCACCCCTTTACAAATATTTGGATTAGTTTACTTTATCATCAGAATAATTTGGAATTCAAATTTTATCACAAGTACTTTTAAAAAAAAAATTATTCCTAGAATTTAAGTGAGTTAATTTTATTTTATTTTTATAACAAAGTGAGTTAAATAGATAATGTGTAAACTCTACCCAACCAAACACAGTATAGTTCGTACGTGCCCTTCTCTCTGTGGTCCTCTCCATCGAAATAATCTTTTTTTTTTCTTTCTAATTTCCATTTATTCTTCTTTCCGTTGGCAAGGTTTGGCTATTCCATTTAAACAAAAACTCTTCACAAATTAGCACAAGCTCATTTAGTTTTGTTGAGGCCTATCCTGACAAGAAATAGCATCCTAATACTGTAATTAAACCAGCTCCGAACAAAAACAGACTTATATGACTTGCAATATACTTTCAAAAAATTAGGGCTTCTCATCATTAATGTTTTGAAATAATTAATAGCATTTTGAAAGAGTATAGACCTGTCATGAAGTGAACAAAACTCCAAAACCACACAAGACTTCCAAAAAAAGATCATAGAGATGCAGTCAATCATCTAGAATTGATGATTAGGTAAAAGACAAATTGTAACCAGTGATCTATATATATATGATCTGGCCAATTCTATTTTTGACATTCAAGTTGATTATACCTTTAAAGAATAAATGAAATAGTTTTTACATATATTTAAGTAGTCCTGCTTAATTTTTTTCTTCAATGAAATGATATGGACAATGGTGATTGTTCTTTAAGGCAACATTTATAGTTCAATATCTATCAAGTATTTGCTCTAACTTTTAAATTTGTGAATTTGTAAATATTATTTGTCTTTATTTATTAAATTAAAGTTATTTATTTTAAAGTCAATCAATTTTTTATTTTTCCTTTTTTAAAAGAATAATATTTTTTTATTTTTAAAAATAAAATTTATAATGATAGAACACTCGTCAATATATATAATTAAGAATGAACGAGAGAAAAATATATATAGGCCTCCTGGTCTAATTTGTGACGTAATAGATGTGATAGTGGAAATCCTGCCTGTTGACTGCCATATTCAATAAGGTAATTCATTCATGTTTGTCTTGTCCTTTTTTGTAGAAAAAGACTGGTGTAAGATAGGTTCCCAGTGGGATGTTTTCTTAATATAAATAATGGGAAGTTGTTTTTTATATTGCTTGCAAATTTTTTTTCCCTTCTTTTATCTATTATAATTGGGTTTGGTGTTTGTTATTTTAAATAACATAAATTATGTTATTTTATGAGAGAGATACACACAAAAAATAAAAATTATGAGATAGAAAAAGTGTGTGATTTTTTTTAATTTAAATTTTAAATAAAAAAATTATTTTGTATCTATCTCTCTCCTAAAATGATATAACTTTATGTTATTTAAAATGACAAATACTTTTCCTATTTTAAAAAGTATATAATTATAATAAAAAAAAATTCTTCAAAAATTATTGGCTAACGTGAAAAATAAAGAAAAAATAATTATATTATAATTATGTATTTTTCAAAATATATAATTATAATCAATGGCCGAAGCAGATTTTTTTTTTTTTTAAGCGACTTCCAAAAAAAGGGACCCCATAAAATAATCTGTTCAGAAGTTCATGATCTACCGAGGGCCACAACATATCAACCATGGTTTAAAGTTTAGACTAATTATTAGACAGAGGTTTCATGTTTTAAAATGATAATATATGATTTTATTGGAGAGAGAAAGATTAAAAAATTATGATCGGTACTAGAGTTCATTAATTATATATTAAAAAATTATATTCTTCTCTTTAATTAGTACATATATTTAATGGAAGAGGTTATACTTATAGCTTTTTTTTTTCAATCTCTTATAATTATTTTTATGATTGTTATCAAAATAAAATTAATGACTTTTACTTAATATTATTTTAAAACCGATGATTTAATTTGGATCCAATAACAAGTTGTAAAAGAAAAGATATTGTAAATATAACATTCCTTACTTTTAATATATTTATATCCTATTGTTTAAAAAATGAATCTAATTTTTTTATAGGGAATACTTTAAGAATATTGATTAAAAGATAACATTATCAAATAAAAATTATATTTAAAAATATTGAATACTTCAGAACTTTAAAAATGTTTAGTAAGTTTTTAAATAATTAGCATAACTAAATTAAGAATATTAAATATTTCCTTCCTTAATATTAAAGCATTGCCTTGGAAGATGCATAAAGAAATTGTTGCGTTTACAAATTAAAGCGATGTGGTATTGTTGTCATGTTTTCCGATCTATTTTTCCTTCCATACGCCACACCATGTTTCAAATTGGGAAGTACGTCCAAACCATGTAGTAATTTCTAATTAATGGCCATTTGGCTGATTACCTACCATGTGGAAAATCATGCACGCCTATATAATAAAATACTAATTAATTAGCCAGCAAGATCTATCATCCAAATGCAATTTCACAGCTTTTTCATGCTTCTTTTATCATTCTCTCTCTCTCTCTAACAGTACTATACATTCTAAACTTTTTCAATTCCTTGCAAATATTAAATATTAAATACTTTATGTTTTTATTTAGTACATGCTATTTTAAGTGATTAATAGAAGACATGAAGATTTATTAATAGAGTGTAACATCACTCTCTTTAATTGCTATATTATATTATATTTTGAAATTTGACACTTCATTTGGGAGTCGTTAGATAAAAAAATATTAATGGTGTCACATGCTTACAAATCAGAGCCGTTGATCTTTTTTGATTTATTGTCTCTCAGATGAGATGTCAAATCTCAAATTTGACACTAGTGTCAAATGATCCTACCTATATATATATATATATGTATGTATAATATACAAAAGGAATCAAAATTTAACCCTAACTAACATAAGAGACTCTCCTTTAATCATCGAGGTTGTCCTTTTCATATTCCTTCAATTTTATATAATAAAACAAAAAAAAAGTTCAATATACATTGTCTATCTTTTTCCAAAATTAGAGAAATGTGAAGATGGTGTTGTGTTTTTTGTCTCTATATAAACAACTTTACTGGATATGGGTTTACAAATCCCATGATTCAACAATCACAATAATTTACTACTTTATTTTTTGGTTCATCTAATCTCATGTTGTATAAGAGAAAATCTCTCATATTTTAGACACACGTGTAGTGAGCCCGCCATTTAAAAAAAAATAAAAAAATATCACAGTTTTTGATGGGTCTATTATGAGTAGTTTTTCCGTTTTATTTTTTTTTTCTGCTCAAAGCCTTAAACTTACATGGATATTAAAGTAAGAGGAATTTCAATAGCTTGCTCCTTAAAGCGAGGCGGTTCTTTCTCATGCGTAATCGAAGAGTCATTCCTTGTCTAGGCATTATGTAATCGAAGAACCATTCAACCATAGGAGGTTTGATCACTTTAACTTTCCCACCTTTGGTCCCACTACTTGCATCATGTATGAGGTTCATGTATGATCATCATCCATCATCCACCATCCACAACAATAATTCATATCCCCAGTATTTTACCAAATAATTATTATTATTAATGAGAGAGAGAGAGAGAGAGAGAGAGAGAGTAAAGGAGGATAGGTTGATGAAAAGGATAAATATAAGAGATTCTAGACTAAGAAGGACAATAAGAAAAACATTGGTTTACTTCCCTGGCATTTCCAATTTATCCATTATTTTAGACATAAAGCTTCATCTTTTTCTTTCCTTCACCTTTTTGAAACCTTGCCCAAAGTTCTCTCTTTCCTTCTCCAGGCTATTTCTCTCTCCCCTCCTCTTTATATATATATAAACACTATTATTATCATTATCATTGTCATCAACTCATAATAAAGATTAGCTTTACTTGAAACTCAGACCAATTAACTAACACACACAGAGAGAGAGAGAGAGGCATAGCAAACATGGGGAGAGCACCTTGCTGTGACAAAGCCAACGTCAAGAAAGGACCATGGTCGCCTGAAGAAGATGCAAAACTCAAGTCTTATATCGAGCAGCATGGTACAGGTGGCAACTGGATAGCCTTGCCCCAGAAGATAGGTATGATCCATGGATAGATTCATCAATCAATCAACACAGATCAGATCATTATTCCAAATCAAATTAACTTCTCCACATATATATATTTTAATACAAATATATATATATATATATATATATATATATATATATATATATATATATATGCTTATATATAATTCTTAATTAACTTCCCTGTCTCAATTCAGAACCAAAAGTTTTATATAATATTGAAGTGTTTCTTATTTGCTGTGCATGTGTATGGTCTAGGCCTCAAGAGATGTGGGAAAAGCTGTCGTCTTAGATGGCTGAATTATCTTCGCCCAAACATTAGACATGGGGGTTTCTCAGAAGAAGAAGACAACATTATCTGCAGCCTCTATGTTAGTATTGGAAGCAGGTAACTTAAAAACTAAATTGAATTCGTTACTGAAAGCAGCTTCTATATATGCTGTAATATTATGTGCACTCCAATTGATTGCTTAAGAATATTCCTTGGTATCTATGTAGGTGGTCTATTATAGCAGCGCAATTACCAGGGCGTACGGATAATGATATAAAGAACTATTGGAACACAAGGCTGAAGAAGAAGCTTCTTGGCAAGCAAAGGAAAGAGCAACAAGCTCAAGCTCGCCGAGTCAGCAACCTAAAGCAAGATCAGATGATAAGAGAAACCACCGAGAATTTGATGGTGGGTTCTGGAGTTATGAGTCATGCTCCCTATTGGCCTGCAGAGTATTCTGTTCACATGCCAGTGGCAAATGCTTCCATTCAAGACTATGATCTCAACAATCAAACATCCATCAGAAGCTTTCTATTTGACAAACCAGAGGGAATTAAATTTTCCAACGATCATCAACAGCCATATAAAGACGCATGTGACATTTCGTCACCCCAAGACATGGTTTATCCAACCACAATGAATATGATAAACCAAGTGGCCATACTGAGTAATGCAAACAATAGTGGCAGTACTTGTCAGCCATCAAATATATTTCAAGGGTTTTTTGAAAACTTACCAAATGATTTGAGTGAGCTGGTCTATGTGAACCCGCAACAAATAGAGGGTTTTTATGGAATGGAATCCATGGACATGAGCAATGGTAGCACCATCACAACTTCAACAGAAAGCACTAGTTGGGGTGATATGAACTTTGGTTTACTCACCTTTGGTTTCTGACTATGAAGGTTGCCGACAAGGAATTCCTCAAGATGTTGCTTTTGAGGAGTCTAGGTACTTTGGAATGCAAATGCAATAACGGCTCTTTATATGGGATGTTGTAAATTTGTACCACTGAAAAATTTGGTATATTGGTCAAAACCCTAATGAGTTCTCTTTCTCTCATCTTTGTTGGCTTTGTAATGTCTTGTTTCATTCCAACTGTTTCGAACTTCTTGCATTTGCTTGATTGTTGATATATATTGATGAGCACGACTCTTTTGGTCTGTATTTCTTTGTTATATAGTCATATATATATATATATATATATATATATATATATGGATGCTACAGAATGAGGAATCTAAGTAATTTATAGTGTGAGACCCTTGAATCTAAATGTCTTGGTTTTTGACTGCTCCTGTATCGAGTGAAGGTTGTTTGGATATGTTACATATCCCACTCAAGAGTTTAATTATGATGAAATTTACCACGTACATGAAAAATCAGTGTAATCAGTTAATTTATTTCTGAACTACATGATTGAATTGTGTCTTTCGCAAAGTTCTTCTGAAAAGGCTGTGGAAACTTGGAAAGTTGCTTAATGTTTTGGCTGTGACTTGATAAGCTTTATCACCCGAGGCATCAAAATCTGGCAGCATTGTTTTATAGTTATCTTCATGTCTGCTATTTAGTTGCCTCACATCTCATATGAGTCCAACCAGAAACGATAGAGCATGAAGTCTCGTTGTCCGTGAACTTGGATGCTTGATATAGAATCGAGCTGATAATAACTACACGTCCATGCTTGAAACTTGAATTAGACATACCTACGGAATGCTCCCTTTATTTTTCTGCTTATAAATAGAAACTGAAGTTCTTTCATAATATACATCTAGTTAAAAATTATTGTTGCCTTTTCTGTTTCTGGAAAAGTGTCATTTTTGTACTTTTATTTTTGGAAATGCTGGAACATGGATATACGTAAGCAACTATTTAAAAAAAAGAAAATTGTCAAACGGGAATTAAAACAATTACCATATCCAATAAAATTAGAGTGTTTTCCATAAAAATTAATAGCTAGTTACAGAATATTGTAAAAAAAGGGCTACAAGTAGTAATAAAGAGAAAAGGATGTAAGTTTTCGCTAACAAAAAAAAGTACAGGTTAATTTAATTTTGTTTAAAAAAAAACCAACTTAGAGAGTCACACTAACAAATGTTTCCAACATACGATCGAGGGCAAAAGCACTCTACTAAGAAGGTTTGTTATAAGATTTACCTAGTGAAAGTTGGCTTGATAGGTTTTTCCATACTAATGTAGTCAGTCTCATAGGTTGTTGGAACGTGACCAGTCCCGTATGCATCTCTGACAACATTACCCTCCAACTCGGAAGACTCCATGCAGTCCCGTCACTGAGCGTTACGGGACTCAATCCTCTAAGCATGTGTTACGGGACTAGTCTCGTTAGACCCTCTTACGGTACTAGTCCCTCTCTTACGACACTACCCTCCACATCAGCTCACTGACATTGAAAATGACACTGAAAATGTGTTAATCATGTATCATAGTTCCGTAACTGATGCATAAGGGAGTAGTCTTGTAACCTCCAAATATTAGCCTAGTCCTGCCCTAACATCATACGTGTTTCATACAACCTACTTAAATCTTGATTGTCCATCTTACCAAACCAGCCCCAAACTGTGTATATATATACACCCTCGGCTTCGGAAATGGATTGCTCAGTATCATATTCTCACATTCGTTCTTTCATTGTTCATCCACTTTCACTGTTTATGACTTGCAATTTGTGATCTATAGTTCACTAACACCCTCTGTATCTTATCATGTTGTTTATCCCATTCATATTTTAAGTCATAATATATCCTTAATTTTTTTGTTTTATTTGCATAATAACGTTACTGCAATGGATCAATTTTGTCCATTCGTATATTACAATGGTTCTAAAATTATGGGTGCAAGCGGTTTGAGCTTCAAAGGGGAAAAAAGAGCAATGAATATTGTCTGAGGCATCTCCATTGAAGATTTAAATGTGAAGATCTATCGAAAATTGAAGCTGCAACAAAATCAGGTAATATCTTCAATTACGGGCAGAGTCACGTACAAAAACAGTAAATATACGGTTTTTGAGATATTTCATGATGTGGACATGGATGTTTTCCTTAGAACATTCGTTGATAACTCTACCTCTCAATTTGTTTATTTATACGTGGATATCGATACCTCAGATGATCTATCAATATCGATTCAAGTAAAGAAGAGAGACCTAACTCTCTAGGGTTGCAAAGAACCAGGAAGGGCAGTAAAGTCGGAACAACTTGTCAAACAGGGTAAGGTTCATTTCAAGAATTTATGTAACCTTCCTGGTCCTGGTTGGGAGCTCTCTCCACAGGACACGACCAAGTGAGCTAACAGGGACAAGACCTTAATACTCAATCACATTATGTACCATCTTTTGTACCCCCAACCCACACAATTAACTGTTGTACATTGAAAAGAAAACGACTATATGGTAAATGTTGAACTTGACAATGAGGAGCAAGAGGAAGATGAAGACACTAATGGCTAATGACTATGATCATAATGATAGGGATGCAGGTAATGAACATCATAGTAATCCCATGTCACACAAGACTGGTATTCCTATGTCCAATCCCACAATTGTTCCATAATCATCTAGTTAGTTAGTGAGTTGTATTATTATATCTTTATTTTTTTATTAGTTACCATGTTTTCACATTAGATACCATCTTTATTTTTTTGTATTACTATATCCTCTTATACACATTTATCCTATGATGTGTGAATATACAGATGTTACATCATTTTGGAATGCGATTTCACATTATGAGGCTGTTAATTGGGATTACTCGAATGAAGATATATTGGATGTTGAAGGCTTGGGTCAAGGTTTGTGAATAAGAGGATATAAATTGTATGTTAAACAAGAGTTCGAGTTCAAGCATGATGTCTAAGCCGCAATAAAATATTACTGCACGAAGGAACATTAAGAAATTGTAGTGGTTGAGAATACGACGGCCAAGTTGTCTATGAAATGTAGGAACCATGAAAAAGGTTGCAATTGGCGAGTAAGAGCAATTAAATTGAAGAATAACAACACTTGGGTGGTTAGTAAAGGGGTTGGAAATCATAGTTATGTGAGCAACTTCCTGTCCCAAGATCACAAATAGCTTGATTTTGCATTGCTATTTTTTTGTATTACCAAAAGCATTAACTACACACTGTGTATTGTCCTGCATTGCTCTACACACATACACTCCAGCTTGCTGCCTACCCAAGTAAATTTGCATCCCCAAAAGTTGGTCCGGCAATATACATCCATTATCAGTGAAGACAACACATTTATTCTTTTGTACTAATCAATTGAGCAGCTGAAAGCAAGTTGCAGCATAAATCATGTACTTATAAGACATTAGTAACGACTAGTTGAGGCATTAGAGTAACCGTTCCTTCTTGGACAGCATAAGTGAATCGTCCATCGGGCAATTTGACACGCGCAAACTGCACTACTTTAATGTCACTTAAAAGTTTGAGGTTCCTAGTCATGTGCTATGAAGCACAGTTGTCTACTAGCTATAAATGTGAGCTTGAATTCTTACCAGAGAGTTGATCTGGGTTCCATGATGATGATTCAACCTGGGATGGGAGTTTCTGTACCCTTCTGGTGTAAGCGCAGGTAACGCTGCTGCATTGTTGGATTCTTGTTCCTACTCAATGTCACTCTACATTGTATGTACTGCATTTTGGAAGAATCGATTGTTGTTATACTTGCCTTCCATTATGCGTGCTTATCAGGCAGCGCGGTCTTTTGGATCAGAGCTCTGATACCATAATAAAATTTGAATACAACCTATTTCACTGTTGTGCCAACATGGATCTTAAATACAAAAGGAATACAATAGAAAAACTTACACTTTGAATTTTGAATTTATCCTAACAACTAATTCTATTTAATGCAGAATGTTAACGTACTAATTATATTGACAACTGATTCTAATCCTATGCTAACGATATGCTGACAATGCATACTAATTATGCTGACAATTATTATAATCATATCATTATGTACATATTAAATGCAGAATATTTTCTTCCTCTAGTATAGAGAACTCTGCCTCAAAAAGGTAATAAAAATGTCACAAAAAATAAAACCGCTTTAATATAATTTGATAATAATTAAGAAACTAACAAATAACAGGACCTAAATTATTTACATAATTCTTTTTCTTATCCGTAGTCATTATTCCCAATTGAAGCGCTCATTGCAAGTTCTATATACCCATATGTCAAAGCATGCCAACGAAATATTTGACTGATTGTTTCACAGCCCTGAATGAGTTGTTGCAACTTGCAAGATGGACATTTAAGCTTGACTTTCCTCCTCACTTCGTTTGGTAGCCAAAGCTTCTCAAGGATTTTTTATCGTTAAATTATTGTTTTTACTTTTGTCAAATAATCTCCGAAGTGATTTGATATTGACAGTCGATTTGTCAACATTAGAAACTCCAGGTCCAGCAGCTGATCCAACTGTCAAACCATAGTTAAGAGAAATAAAAAAGAATTCCTTTTAAAAATGAATTATTCATAATTAAATACCATTTTATTTTTCATCTTATGGCCCGACATGCATGTCAACATGCTTTTTTTTTTTTTTTTGTTCCTCTAAAACATACTAATTAATAGCTAGTTATTTTTGTTTGAGTATTTGTTTTCGTATATATTAACCCTTCATTACAAAAATTGCATGTATCTATTTGTTCAAAATCTGACATTTAATTTTTGTCAATTTATATCACAATAAAATCCCATTTCTAAGCCTGCTATTATTTATTATACAGAAACAAGTCATACGAAGAGAATCTCTTGCATATAAATTGATAAATAAGAAATTTTCTAATAATATATATCTCAGAATAACATTCCATTTCCAAACATGCATAGGTTTGACTACTCTCATGTAATAAGAGAGAATATATCTT